CTCCTTCTTCTGTGCTTCTCCATATCTTTACCCCTCTTCCCTCCATTGTTTATCTTCCCCAACGACCGCTTCGATTTTCGATAGCGGCGTTCCCAAGAATTTTCCACGAGAAGGCGAAAGAGGCGCGCCCCGTTTTTCGAATCGACGTTCGATGCATCCGCCCCGCTGCCTCCGCTTCTCTTTCACGCACTGAATGCTATACGGCTCTGCGGTTTCCAGGATGATCCGCATCGCGTCACTGGAAAAAATTCGGTCAAGCCGCCGACGGATTAATTAAACGCCGCTTCACGTTTTGCTCCAGGTAGCTCCGAACACGGACTCTTTCTTTTCCATTTTTTCATTTTTCTTTTTCATTTCTTTTTCATTTCCTCCTTCTCCGGCGACCGAGGGGAGAACAGAGAGGAAGAAGGAGAGAGGGTGACTTTTCTTTTTCCATTTGAAACGATGCCGGTTAACGACTCTCGCATTAGAATTGCAAGCGAGGCGCGGCGTCTCGAAGGTAGCGGATGTCGGAATTAGAGCCGTGCGCAGAAAGTCGTGCGTGCTCGCCTCGTTGCACAAAAGCTGTTGGCGAACGCAAGGAAAATTTCTCGCGTTCCTCTGTGTGTGCCCGGGGTTGACGGGCGCGCGCACTTTCGTTGCGTTTTTCTTTTTTCTTTTCCTTTCGAACAACGTGCCAAACAGGAGGAGGTGCGTTCACCGCGGCAAGGACAAAGAGATCGCTCGCTCCTTCGGTGTGTCGAAATCTATGGACTGTGAAAGAACAGGCCATTGCAAACCGGGTGATGATGTGTAATTCTTACTCTCTAGTTTCTAATTAGGGTAATAATCGCGAAAATCGCGAGTGACGCGTAGCTCGAGGAATGGGGTTACAGAAATGATGAAACAGGATGGATTGTTGCTGCGGGGACAGCTGATTGTCGAAATAAACTCGAAGTTATTAAAATTAGGAGGCAGATGATTTTATACAGATTATTTTACGTATGATTTTATAAGATTATTTTGTGCATTGAAATCGAAGTCGCGAACAAATATAATATATCCTTATGTTTATAAATATATATCATATATATATAATTTATATATAATATATATATATATATATTTATATATTTATATATATTTGTAAACATTATATATATATAAAGTATGTAAATATATCATTTAATTTTATCAGTAATAGTCACTATATTCACTTCTCGCGTTTCTGTGTGTCTCCTTTATAATTATTTTCTAAAAATCAATATCAGGTGCAAATATTGTATTAAGTATAACATATAGTGTATATTACATATAGTACATAATATATACATAATACATGTATAAAATATAATATATTTATAAACATAATTATATATATTTTTATACATTTATATATATTTATAAACATTATATATATAAAGTATGTAAACATATAGGATCATTTAATTTTATCAGTAATGGTCACTATATTCACTTCTCGCGTTTCTGTGTATGTCTCCTTTATAATTATTTTCTAAAAATCAATATCACGTGCAAATATTGTATTAAGTATAACATATAGTGTATATTACATATAGTACATAATATATACATAATACATGTATAAAATATAATATATTTATAAACATAATTATATATATTTTTATACATTTATATATATTTATAAACATTATATATATAAAGTATGTATATATAGGATCATTTAATTTTATCAGTAATAGTCACTATATTCACTTCTCGCGTTTCTTTATGTCTCCTTTATAATTATTTTCTAAAAAAATCAATATCACGTGCAAATATTATATTAAATGTAACATATAGTACATATATAATATTTACATAATACATACATAAAATATAACGTATTACATTCGTATAATATATGAATATCAATTCAAATTATTTGGTCGATTTGCATCAGAACAATCTCAAATTCCACCAACGTATGTCGCAACAACTTACAACAATCCAACGCTCGTCTAAAAAGATCGGAAAGAAAGTCGCATCAATTCTATCAATAGTCGAATTTTTCCGAAGGTTTATCTCTGCGGACTCGAGACAATGGAAACGTTCGAGAGACAGACCGAGTTGATTGCACGCTCCGTGCAAGCATCACGACTGGCGATTAAAAGCGATTTCTGACACGCTGTGCGCCGCGGCTGCGTTTTCGATTCGATCGGCGCTGATAGAAAGCAATTCTCTCCGTTGCGGTGTATGTTATCGACGTCTAATTGGCCCCGGTGAATTAGAATATGTTCCCTCGTCGGATGACACGTCCTTTTATTCCATTAGGCGTGATTGTTGCCGCAACGGACGATCGGTTTGCGCAACAATGCAGTGAACTTTTCTACGCGCGAACGGCCTTGCCTTTTTTTCTTCTTTCTTTTCTTTTTACATCAAACAAACGTGCGGCTACGTGTGGGTGTCACTTGCTCTCCTGCCTTGAAAAACCTTTCACTGTTTCGCGCCTACATAGACGCGCGGTAGACAGCCGCGTGCCACCGTCGTAAACTCGGTGAAATCTCGCGAGCCGTGTAACTCGTTCCATATACACCCGCCACTCCACCGAATTTCATTTTCTCGTCGCCCGACATTGCACTTCTCCTTCGTGAGAAAGGATTTCGAAATTTTTTTCACTACCGCGGAATTTCCTTGGAATATTCTAAACGTACAGTTCAGCATTTTCTCCCGGAGAGTCTTTGAAATCGGCCTTTGGAATTTGGAACATTTACACTTGCAAGTTTGAAGGGTGTCTCTTTGGAATTTGGAACGTTCGAATTTGCAAGTTTGACGATCCCGGCCCTTCGAACTTGGTAACGTTCGAATTCGCAGGTACGAAGATTTTAATATCGTTAGAATTTGAGACATTTAAGTTTGAGGAAAATCCAAGCCCTCCGACTTAAGTTGAGAAATTTGAAGAATTTTCGCCCTAATTCGAAAATTCGAAAGTTTCGATCTAAATGCTTTGAAACGTTCGTCGTTTGCTTGAAGATTGTAATGCGAGAAAATACAAGAGAACGATCATTTTCTCAGACAGAGTAATGGGATCAGCAGAAACGTTTCACTAGAAATCCCCCTCGAAGGATATTATGGGATACCGTATTCAACGAAGGTACTTTCGCATATTAATTAATTCTTATCGTGTTTATTAAAATTCATCGCGTTTTAATACCCTGTTTACTCGTTCGTGTATTTAAAAAAAGTTTTGCCAACACGATCGATAATTGGTACATTATCGCCAATTTATTGGATCTCGAAGATTCTCCCTCCTGTTATGTTAAGCACAGACACGCTTGGAATCGAGAATAATTTTTAATCAGCTCTCGAGATGCACCTGGGTGCTGAACCAACGACTCCGACTGCTGGCTCCAATTTAACGACTTACGTTCAACTTTTCTCCCTTTAACGAGGTTCAACTAAAATATACTAAACTTTCGAGAACGAAAATGTGTCGTTAAATTTCAACAAAAACTCTTTCGACGATGACACGCGTGATTAATTCTTTGCCTCACGACGTTGAAAAATTGTGATTTATAATTAAAGAGAATAGAAGAATTTCGAACCTTAAAAATGACGATCAACTATTGGATTTAAGATGGTCAATTCTTTTGACAATTGTTAATTACTCTGAAGTAACGATGGCCACGTAGTTAATAAACGAAATCGTGAGTCAAGGGGTTAAATACATCGGACCTTCGAGCGGTTGCCAGACACGATCCTCAAGCCAATGTTAATCGCGTTAATTACGGCCCAGACTTAGTTAAACAGGAAACGATTATATGTGTTTAGATTAATATTACAAACCAATTTATCAACCACCGTAGATGCCCCTGACTTCTTTTTTTCTTCTTTTTTTTTTCTTTCTGTTGAGTCACTTCCCGTTACCCTGTGATTATTCACGAATTTGTTACGTTATTTTTTTGTATATATCCAATGCTTCTTTTTAACGATCTTTGCATCGGTCTTTTTGTTGATTAGCATGTCGCTGTAGACGTGTATACTTCACGATGTACATGCATATCTGTCACGCTCATCACGCGCACTTTATGCCACAAATGTCTACCGATTTGTAATTTCAGTTCGAAAGTTCGATACATTTGTTTTCTTCCTTTTTTGTAAAAGATAAAGTTCGAACCGTCAGAAACTTGATAGTCAAAATTTTGAGGGAATTCGAACACCAGTACTTGGGAATTTGGAAATTTCAGAATATGTTTCTTTAGAGTACACGGAAATTTAAGTTTCCAAAGTGTGTGAGTTTGAATTTTTAGTTGAGCAAGAATTGCAAATTTTCCGAGTTTTGGTGAACTGATACAAAGAAAGGAATTTTTGAACGAGGAAAAATTGATCAAACGTGACTCTGTTTTTCGAAAAAAAAAAAAAAAAA